GTTTTTTTTTTTGTTGTTTTTTTTTTTTTTTTTTTTTTTTTGGGGGGGGGGGGGGGTTATTGTGCGGTTTCTTTTGTAACCTATCAACATTATGAAGCATCCTGTGCAAACGATCCTTGAGCAAATGCATTAGAGTTTTAGAGTTGTATCAGAACGCTGTATAGAGGTGACGGTGTTTTGTGTTTTCATCCGACAGATGTCCGTACTTGTTTATCTGTGGAACGTATACTGTTCCATCCCCACCTGAAGCATCTTCCCAAAGGTCCCGCCCCCCTCCTAGGACCAAACCAGATTGCTATCAATATCCTGCTCTCTGATTGGGCGAGGCTCTGTAGGCAGAGAAGATCGATTGAATATTATTTATTTTCTCTTTTTAATTTATTGTTGTCTTGTCCAACTTGTTTGGTGTTTGTGTTTGGCGGACCAGTTGCGTGGGTTTCATGGTGGCATGAGCGAGCCGTCTGGTCCGTTTTTGAAAAACTGTGTTTCGGAGAGTTTAGGGAATGTGCAGTGTTGTACTTCTTTCAATATTTCATTACCTCAACCGGCCCTCAGTTTACTGGGCTGGTGTATATAGACTGAACCCAGTCGTTTATCAGAAATGTACTGTAATGTAGTCGAATGACGTCGAGTGTGTGGAGCTCCTCCACTGGGCCCGCAGTCTATCCCTGAATCCGTCTGCTTTTCTTTTTGCTTCAGAGCAGATTGTTGGGACAGTGGCTTATGGTTATGTTGGGACAGTGGCTTATGGTTAATTTTAGATAGTTGTTGGGGAAATGCTGCTGTTTGTGTAATACCTCTAAAACCTCCCCGACTCATTTGTAAAAGTAACACGTCTAGAGCTCAGGTTTCATATTATACAATATGAACTAGACTGTAGACACTGTAGACTCTCTGTTTTTTTTGCAGAGAGCTGAATACTCAAAAATGCCCAGTGCTGTAAACATTTGCCTCCTAACCACCAGGTGGCAACAAAAGTGCAGGGCACGTTTGGATGTATCAAGGCAGTTGTTGCTCATCAATAATGTCTCTCAATGCTTGTGTGTATGGACTTCACTTGGATTTGCAATTGCAGTGCATTAGGAGTTTTATTTTTGAAACTTTTTTTAAATGTGTTATTTAATTTTGTTATAGGAATATGTTTTCCTCCCTATGTATTGTGACCAATTTTTCACAATGTCATATCTGGACCTGCTGGTGAAAACGACAGACTGTCGCTTTTGCTGAACTGTCGCTACTTCCGTTTCATCATGAATTTAAAGTTATGTGATTTAAAAGTTTTCTTAAAAAACAAACATTTCTAATCTTGATTTTGGTTATTTTAGTAAAGGTACTCCATATTTACAGTATCTATTAATGACTATAAATAAAAGTAGTTACATCTACAGCTATCATTCAGAGATTATTTCTAATTATTCACATGACAATCTTAAATATACGAAATTGGTCACAAATGACTAGACTCTTACAATAAATTAAATCCTAATGACCGAGGGCCTCCTGTATGAAAGGCTTTGCGTTTCATTCAGATTTGTAAAACCATATGTGCATCAGAATCTGCACAAGGTTCATTTGATTATAAGTACATGCTCAAGCTTTATTTTACATGTTCTCAAGTCCCCAAACATAAATGGAACCTTGGATACTTTTTTTGTGACTGCATCTGCATAAAATTTCCATATGCGTATTGCCTTCCAGACACAAAACAGTAGCTGATACAGATTGCAGGAATCGCCTGCACTGATATAAGAGAGATTGTGCAGCTAAAATCATTTAAAAAAAAAAACAGAAACGTAGCCAAAATTGCATGAGATCCTAAGTTTTCAGATAATGTGTTTTGAACATACAACAAATGTATTCTTACTCCACATGCAAAAAGTATTTATTTTGTGGACTATCTTCATAGTAAAATTCAGTGGATCACATCACGTTACATCTAATCACAGCTGCAATTGTATATTTTATAATACAGATTATCGAGATTATCGTAAAACTAAGATGAACACCAGGGCCCTCTGTGCATACAGTAAAAGCTGACCACTCTGGTCCTCATACAGTGCAAAGACAGAGTTATCATTACGAACTGGTTGAGGTTAAGTAGGAAAGGTGACCCATTTCTTTGTGCAATGTTGTATATCACAAGCACTGAACCAAGAAATCATTAGTCATTAAAAACATGCTTTCTCCGTTCTAAAAGCAGCACGTCCATTAAATATATTTTATTTAGGCTCTAGGGGCCTGATGTATAAAGTAAAATCACACACTGGTATTTATAAAAAATTATAATAAACTTGGCATATGCATGCTTACTGGTGAGAACATCGCATTCATCTTTCCCTCTCATGTTTGACAATAGGAATATTGCATATTAAAAAAGCACAATATACTAACAGCTATTATGTAAAACATGATCTGACAATAATTTTTGCTGTTCAACAACATTATCACGTCAGGGACTAAAGCTTTTAGCAAAAGTTATGTATGTAATGGATTTACTTAAGTTATTAAATCATTTTGATTAAAGATTACGAGGGCATATGAATATAAACAACGCAACATTTCATTTTTAAAAAAAAACTGTCGATTTTCAATTCATGGTGACTTTAAAGGGGTCATATGATGTTGCTAAAAAGAACATTATTTTGTGTATTTGGTGTAATGAAATGTGTTTATGCGGTTTAAGGTTAAAAAAAAATATTATTTTCTACATACTGTACATTATTGTTTTTTCTCTTTTTCCCGCCTTTCTGAAACGCGTCAATTTTTACAAAGCTCATTGTTCTGAAAAGCGAGGTGTGCTAGGTAGGCGTGGTTGACTTAAATTTTATAAAGAATATCTCTTTGGATTTGAGACTTTAATCTTTGCAACTTTACAGATCTTCTTTATGCACCAAGAGCTTGTAACACTCTAAAGAGAAAGGAAAAATTGAAATCGCATCATATGATCCCTTTAAACCATAGACTGGCTTTAAACTCACAGGCTATTCATATTACCTCTGTTTTATAAAAATCTGCAAACAAACTTACTCTCTGCCCACGTGTATTGGCAAATAATACGTATTATTTGAGCAAAATATTGATAATTCTGTATGTCTAGTACGGACTATTGAGACAATGAAAGATGACAAAAAAGACGTCGGACCATAAATGGTTAATGCGGTCTTGCGCTATCAGGTCACTTTGTTTTTACTCGCCATTGGTCAGATTTACTATCAATCAAACCTTAAACCAATCAATGAAGGGCAAATCTGTCGAGTCCTTCTCGTTTGGCCAATCAGCAGTTAGTTACTAAGAGTCGCGGTGCAGATTTAAAAGTAAAATTAATCTCATCAACACATTTAGGACTGGGGCCAGTCGAAAAGACGTGATTTCCGAACCGAGAGCTATGAACAGTAAGTTAAACTGGCTTTTTCCGTTTCCGTGTAATATTTACTAATTTCTCCGGTGATATTAGTTAAAGGTTATTTGAAAAGACAACGAAGAACACGGCCGTATTCATCCGCTCAGCGAGGCTCTGAGTCATGTTAGCACAGCGCTAGCCTGAAAGCTAGCGTGACTCTCTTCCTCTACTTTGCATACAGGCGAATTAGAATAACGCCATTATTTAGATAACTTTCGGGATTTGGTTCAGGATTTGCACATGTTTTGTAGTCAAATGTGAGCCATTCCACCCTCCTTGCCTTCCCCGGTCCCCACTTGTTTTGTCTAATCCTAGCAAGGTGGTCAGAAAGGCAGAACCGTGGACCAAAGTGGTTGCCTGGATACCTGCTTCTCTCCCCATCCATCTGGTGCAGGGATCCGCTCTCCGCCACGGGTAGCCTACATTTTCATTTAAATAAGTAATTTGCAAGGCTAATGTTTGAGTGTGGCCGTATCTGACCACTGGAGCTTTTGATCTGCTGACTCCGCTTGAGTAAAGAGCTTTGTGAAGACCAGATGGACGCGGATCAGATCTCTTATATGTAGGGATCCACTCGCTTTCTGGACTGGTGGATGTGGACAGACAGCTCAGAGACACACTTTGCAGTACTGCTATTGTTGGTCTTTGAACACCTTTATTGTTACTCTATTAACACGTGTATTTTCCCAGCAGGTCCGGGCAATCCAAAACCTGTGCAGCTTTCTGGGATCAAGTGCTTAGGATAAATCATCAACATCATGTGGACCGTCTCACAGATGCTTCCTGGACCTTGTGATCCGATTTCTGGAAGATTGTGACAGGATTGTCCTTCCCCGTAACCGAGGCTCCTCAACTTTAATGTAACCTTTTTTTTTTTTTTTTGGCTTCTGCTCTTGTCCAGTATCACCCTGTCCTCCTGCTGCTTTTCTCTAGCAGTGTTTATGAATGTTTTAACCTGTTCAGATCCAGTGTATGTTCTAACGTACACCATCTTTCTCCGGTATTTGTATGTATTATACTGCAAAACTGCTTGACATGGTTTCAGTATACATCCTATAAAATTTGTGCTATCTTCACCAAAATGATTATTTTCAGACCATGCCTGACCAATGTTGTAGAATGAATAATACGTCTGTAACAGCAGTAGACATCTGACCAATGCTCATGTAATGACATTCAACTTTGTGTCTGTTTGGTGATATGACATTGTAGGTGGCATAGTAATAAAAGGAAATACATGAGCAGGTCATTGTAAGGGTGCAGGTTTGAATATAACACTTGTTATTGGACCTTTGTTTAATCTTTCAAATGTATTAACAGTTATGTTTTAGTTTAATATTCTTCCAGCAATGAAATTCAAAATCAATGCATATTTATTTATTTAGGTTACACTCAATTTAAAGGTGGCCTTGTTACAGTGTAGCTAATTATACAACGAAGCACTGATTAATTAACAATATGCACTTACTATTGCTATATATTTGCGGTTTAATTTTCTGTTTTATATATATATATATATTATATAATTGTAGTTTTTTTAATAACAGTAAATTCATAAGTACAATTTTGTAATTTATTATAACTTATGGCTCTTTTAATATATAAATATTTTATCTCTGGGTCTGAACAGGTTACAGCGAAAGAGTAGCATGGCACGAATTGAACACTGGCGTACAATGATCATATTGTGTTTGGGGGCGCATCCCCGTTTTTGCAATCGTTTTTTTTCTATCAACCATGTGGGGATGAAAGCGATTCATTACTGGCTGCCGTAAGCGCACACACAGCCAGCGGGCCTATCGCCTGCAACCTGTTAGCTAGAGGTCCCGACGATACTCCCTCCGACTCGTGCGCTGCTGGACTGCTGGCGAGGACACAATAGGATGGATGCCGCTAGCCTGCTACGTTAGCTCTGAAGGTAGCGTTGTGAATACGCGAGCCGCTCGCGCTGCTCTGCTGTTGTTTACATGAACGGAGAAAATCAGAGCGTGACCGAGGTGACGTAAGGATCAGCGGAGGGTTTTATAATTATAGCCTGCGCGAGATTACAGTTCGTTTGAAACCTAAGAATCACGTGTCGCGTCTGTGATGTGTTTTCGTAACAGAATTCTCTTGAATTATTTGCGTGCTGCGTGAACAGATTCGTTCGTACAAGCTTCAGAATAATGAATGACTAACGCACATTGGCTGTCACGTCTGTAATGCACTTCTTGGGTTTGCTGTGATGTGTGTTCAGGTTTGGATGGAAACTGCGTGTCTGTGAAGTCTTTTTACGCAGCTTTTGTGTTTGGCTTGATGCAGACATGCACTCAGTCCCACTGTAGCAATAACAGTAATAATGCACTGCCTTTCACCTCCTCCCACAAGGTTACCCTCACTGTACCACAGAATGATGGCCTCCACTGTTCCCCCCTTCTCTTTCTTCTTGGCCTTGTCTGGCTCACCTCCCTCTCCCTGCAGTAATCTTTCTAAATCTCTTGCTTTCTAATCCTTTCCATGTCTATTTTAATATGGACACCCCCCTTCCCAAACATCCCATTTTCTTCTGCTTGAATATAAATATGGCAGCTGTCCGGAATAATTTAAGAACTCCTTACAAAGCAATAATGAGACCAGTGAAGGAATGCAGTTGAAATTATTTTCCTCAAGATATCTGGGAAATCTATATGTGCCATGCTATCACAATGCATACCTTGTAGTCTGTCATTTGAACTTGTCTTGTGAGTTTAGTGGTGCTTTACGTTGATGTATTTGTGTAATCTGACACCGTGTGTTTTATGCACATTACATTTACGAAGGTATATGTCTTGTTTGTCGAGTGCTAATGTGGATTTTGTGGTCTAATTTTGCTTCTTTACTATCCCCGTTTGTTTCATCCTTCTGCCTTTGCCTTGCCCTTCTTTCTCCTTTTTTTCAGTGAACAGATTTTGGTGAGAATCAAGTTGTGAACGCAGTGCTTATGATCAAGCAACATGTCTGCCACTAACTAAACAAGATGTTATTATAAATTAAAATACTTTTATTGCTTGTCTATTCAAATCATTTTTCAAGTTTGCGTTTTCATAAATGGCAATGTTGTTTTTATATACATTCGATTATTAAAAATATATGGACTTTTTAAGATGTCATTTAAAACAAAACACTAAAATGTGTCAAATGTATCCTCTTTAGACACAGTGACATTGAGCAACATTGCTTGAGATTATGCTGAGCATCCTTGCAGCTGGCTCCATATTCTTCCCAGGCCTCTTCCTGCTGTCCAAGCGATTCCTGAAACATGCTCCTGGGCTCAAATGGAGCGAGAAGGATGCTGTCATCGTCTCGTCCAGGTAAACAAAGGGAAGCGAAAGTGAGACATGTTGAAAGGTGCTGTCAGGCTCAAGCTACCAGGTTTTATTTACTTGTGTATCTGTGCTCTTTTTGTTTTTAAAAATGAAAGTCATAGCAGTGGATTCATAATTGTATTTTTGTGTGATTATTAAGGATCAATTAAAAAGGATAACTTGACAAACCAGTTATTTTTAGTTGTTGAACTGCATCAGTCAATGTGACTTTTTGAATGATATACAGTGGGTACGGAAAGTATTCAGACCCCCTTAAATTTTTCACTCTTTGTTATATTGCAGCCATTTGCTAAAATCATTTAAGTTAATTTTTTTTCCTCATTAATGTACACACAGCACCCCATATTGACAGAAAAACACAGAATTGTTGACATCTTTGCAGATTTATTAAAAAAGAAAAACAGAAATATCACATGGTCCTAAGATAAATAATTTGAAAACAGAAAATGGTTGCCTGAAATTCATGAGGTAGATAATGATCCCAGAATGATTAAATATCTGCAGATTCAGTTACTAAATGTGACGCTGTAAGTTTATGGCAGAGATTTTTATCTTGTTTTGAAGGCTTTCTTGCGTGAAATGTGTCTGATTAAAATCTGCTGAGTAAAGTTGCATGTAGGGCTGCATTTGGTTGCAGTGCATATCTGATGTGTTGCTGTGCTTTTCTGCTTTGCTAGGAAAGTTACAGTGTAATATCCTGCTTAAATGATCCTTCCTTTAACTGGTGTCATTGATATCTGCTATTAATGGTTTCAAATATCTCCTATCTAAGGGTGTTTGCAGTCTGTTTTGGTCACCTTGCTGTCTTTCATGCATGTTTTTTCTCTCACCCTTTTTTAGACTGGTGTCCTCCGTTCAGGCTATTATGGCATCCTCTGCCGGGTACATCATCGCCTGTTCTTGTGAAGACATTATTGAGGACCAGTGAGTATCAGCTGAAGATATGTGACAAGATATAACATACATTTTTTGGCAATTAAAATTGATTGTATATGTAGGGCTCTCTGTTTTACTATACTCAACACTGTTTTACTTAGGTGTTTGTTTGTTTTCCTATGTGCATGTGTCTCTCTCGCCTCTTTTCACTTGTTGCGTTTGCATGTACAGCTGAGAATTCTCTCATTTTCTATGGAATTGTTCCCAGATGTGTAGGAGTGTGAAAGTATTCCCTTCACTCTGAGTGTTTCTAAGAATGTGCTATTTCTCCAATGTGCACCATATGTCAGTGAAATCTAATTAGAAACTAATTAGGTTGCGAGCCTATCTGTAAATCCACTGTGGCGCACCAAGCTGGGGGGAAAAGGAGCGAGAGAGAGTAGACTGGCAAAATACTGTGGAAAAACTTGACGTGACTTTTTATGACCGCTTTAGTCAGCGGTTTCATTTAATACTTGAAAGCTGCGTCTTTACAATCTGTGAAACCCATTAGGAGGTTTGTGGAAAACGGTTGGCTCTAATTTGATTTGCCTCACCTAATTGAATTGTATGTCTTGTTTTGAACTGTTTATCTTGTTTAATTTTGCCTTAACCCAAAGGCACACAAGTGAGTTAAGAACGGCAGCTCAAATAGGTCAGAGCAATCATCCCCCGGTTTCACAGACCAGGCTTAAGCCTAGTCTGAACTGTTTTACCTGAAAGAAACTTGCGCTGATATATCTTAAAAAAATGTAAGTGTCATTGATTTGTCTCAAGACCAAGACACCAGTAATGTTTTTTTCGAAGGTACGTTTATAAAAACTACTTAAATGTCCTAATTGAACTATGGCTTAATCCTGGTTTAATCTAAGCCCTGTCTGTGAAACCAGGCCCATGTTTTATAAATGATTTAAGCCAGGTAAACTCAGTGTATGTGTAGTAAATGCATCAGTCAGGGTACAGGGGGCTGGGAATTAGACAAGGGCCAAGTCAAATACTAGGCCTATTTTTTACAGGTTTTCTTTGTCAGGTTTTGAATTGTATTATGCTAATTTAGGTTTTGAAAGTATTAGTACATCAGTATTGTGATTTCTTCAGTATGTTTTTAAATATTCATGACTGTAATAATGGACTAGTCAAGTATTTAAATGATTTATTCCAATGTCAAATCTTAAAAGAAGTTACTAAAAACAGGTTACTAAATGCAACACTTGAAACTTTAAATGCTTGGGATTTTAACTTTTTTTTTTTAAGAGAAGCTTTTTGAAAAAAAAGGCGAAAGTGGCCTAGAGATGGGTGTATCGATACTGAAGTACTAATACCGATACTAAGGTGTTTTTTTTACCTGTCATTTTGTTAATTTAACAAGAAATTGAATGCATACAATATGCACTGAATTGGACGAATAACCCATGTTAGCGAATAATTGTGGAAAATGGAACTATTTTCCTGCTTAACACACGGAAATGCTGCAAGACATAACCAATCAATCACAGAGAGCGTTCACTCACTACTGACACTGCTTTTCCCAAAAGTATCATAAGAAACCACTGATGCTTTTGGGAAACGCAGCTCAGAACAATGCTTATCAGAGGAAAGAAAAACATAATATGTTTGAGTTATTTCACAATAAACAAATTGAAATTGTAGCCTATAATTTGTGCAATTACATTTATTAAAATTGAACGTTAAATTGAATGAGAGAGCAAAACAAAACACCGGTCACGAATTAGAAGTACAAAACGAGGATTTGTAAAGAAAAATGTTGGAGGATTTCGATATAAGCCAAGAGGAGACTGGTTTTCCTTTTCTAAACAAAGGAAACTTATACTATGCCTATGTCCTACGTCATCCTCTGGAATGCGTATGACAGTTAGCGGAAGCTAGAGATTACTGTTTATAAAGTTTTAAATATGGATATTTTTCTTACAAAAACGCATCAATTTAATGGATGTGCTTTATTGGACTTCTTTTGGACTATTGAAAAATAACACCCATTCACTGCCATTGTAAAGCTTGGAAGAGCCAGGACATTTTTAAATATAACTCCGATTGTATTTGTCCGAAAGAAGAAAATCATATACATCTAGGATGGCTTGAGGGTGAGAAAATCATGGGGATTTTTGGGTGAACTATCCCTTTAAGAATCATATATATATATATATTGTGTTGAAAATAGCTGTGCTGCTTATTATTTTGGTAGAAACTGTGATAGATTTTTTCAGGTTTCTTGATGAATAGAAAGTTCAAAAGGAACCGCATTTATTCATTTTTGTAACAAAGTAAAATTCTGTACTGTCACTGATCAATTTAATGCATCTTTGATGAATAAAAGTATTAATATCTTTTACTGACACCAAACCTTTGGAGGGGGTAGTATGCTTAATTTTCAGAAATGGACACACATTTATCCTCACAAATCACGCTTCTCTTGGGAACACATAGAGCAGGGGTTCTCAAACCTCTCCATGAAGTACCCCCAGCACTGCTCGTTTTGTGTGTCTTCCTATATCTGACCAAGCGGCAACCTCCCGCTCTCTCTCGTGAAGCCCACACGGAAGTGACTTAAACTGTAATTCATCAACTGGCTGCTAGAGGCTGACTACAAAAGGGAGTCAATCCCATAGACTCCCCATGTTAAAATGCCCAACTTTACAGCAGAAAAAAACATGTTTACAGCCTGGTTCAAAAAATTATTTTGGTCTATATAGCTAATTTTGCCCTTCATGACAACTGTGAGGGGGGTGAATTTTTTTTATAACTCATCCATTTAAATTATATTAAGCCTTAAATTTCTGCATAATTAAGGGCGCGGCCACTTTAGTGACCGGTGGATTGCCTCTGCTGTCACCACCGTCGAGCTAGGTGGGTGTGGTTTCAGCAACCAGCTCCCGCCTCTTTGCCCATTTTCGATTATCCGGGAATGACGCGCGGTGACGCGCTGCCAAGATGGCGACGGCCGGCTCCGCCTACTCTTAAATTTCTGCATAATTAAGGGCGCGGCCACTTTAGTGACCGGTGGATTGCCTCTGCTGTCACCACCGTCGAGCTAGGTGGGTGTGGTTTCAGCAACCAGCTCCCGCCTCTTTGCCCATTTTCGATTATCCGGGAATGACGCGCGGTGACGCGCTGCCAAGATGGCGACGGCCGGCTCCGCCTACTCTAGGCTTCAAAAACGCTCTTCGGAAACCTATGGGTGACATCACAGACACTATGTCCATGTTTTTATACAGTCTATGTATCTGACACACCCACTTCAGGTCTTGCAGTCTCCACTAATGAGCTGATGAGTTGAATCAGGTGTGATAGATAAGGGAGACATACAAAATGTGCAGGGCTGGGGGTACTCCAGGACAGGTTTGAGAACCACTGACGTAGAGAATAGTTTTACTGCCTCTGCAGTCAGGTGCTTGATTTGCTAGTCAAATTTTGCTAGTCACCCAAAAATGAAAATGTAATTATTTACTCCCTCTCATGTTGTTGTTCTAAACCTACAGTATATGAATGCTTGTCTAACATGTGACACAAAATGAGATATTTATCAGACTTGCCTGTAACCTCCAGTAGTAGTGAGCACCTTGGACTTGTTTTGGTTCTCAAAGGATTTTAAAACTGATTTGGAAAGTCATTAAAAGTGAATTAAATCTGCACAGGTTTAAATGTTAAGTAAAGTTGCCTTTCAGAGCATTATATCTATAAATATTCAATATATAGAAATATTAAAGGGGTCATAGGATGCTACATGCACTTTTACAAGTTGTTTGAACTGAAATGTGTGTTGGCAGTGTGTGTACACAACCACCCTATAATGATAAAAATCCACCCGGTGTTTTTTTTTAATCTCGTTAAGTGTTTTCCCCTTTCTCAAATCGAGCCGATCTCAGATGCCTGTCTGTGTGACGTCACACAGACAGGCCCCTCCCACAATAGTTTGATTGACAGTAGCGTTTCAGCACAGACTGGACTGGTGTCTTATCTTATGGCGCTTTTCCACTGCGTGGTACGACTCGGCACAGCTCAGTACGGTACGGCACGGCTCGGCTCGGTTTGCGTTTCCACTGCAGTTAGTACCGCTTTAGAGTGGGCGGGGTTATTCACATGTCGTTATAGTTGCGCCGCCTCTATTGGCGCAACTCCTGAAAAAACTTTTTCATTCCGCGTCGCCCCATCAAGCATTAACATTTAAAGAGAAATGCTACAAAAACGGCTTGATCTGAAAAGAGCTGTTTTTGACAGGGTAAAAAAGGTGTTTTTTACACGACCATTGAGAAATTTTAACCAAACTATGTTACAGACTTTTCATTAAGACCCTAAAGAATCATATCAACTTGCGGAAAATGGGCATCATATGACCCCTTTAAATAATGACTGAAAACAATCATGGGAAATGTTATGGTAATTTATATATTACAGTACAGTACTGTAGTGCTGTGTTCGATACATCGATACAACGATGTATCGTCACAGAGATTTGACGATACGAGTATCGATACAGCTGGCCCTGTATCGATATTGTGGCACGTGTGCAGCAGTGGACCGCACTTAATTTGAATACAAGAACAGCATTTAAAATAGAGTAGAAAAGTGCGAGGTTTCTAAAAAAGAATGAATAGAGCATATATAGGCTACAACAAGGTTTAATCTAGCCGCAGAGGAACACAACCGGGGTTGCCTGATATAAAGAGACGTAATCCCCAAAACAGAGCTTAAAAGTGCAATAAACATTAACAATTATCCAGTATGTAAGGAATAATTGACGACGGGCTGTTGAATTATTAGAAAAATAATGCACACCCGAGGTGATGATGCGGCCACGAAGCGGAGTGTTGTGTTTCGTTGTGAAACCTCGGGTGTGCATTATTTTTCTAATAATTCAACGGCCCGGAGTCAATTATTCCGCTTATAATACGGTTACCACACCTTAAGACATCGATCAGATGATATATTTAAAGGGATTCGTCCGGTTTTTGTACTTAAATCACTATTGTGAGTATGATTATTTCTTCCGCATCTCAACCAACGCCTCTTTTGCTAGTTCCAAAACGTCATTTTAAGTGTGCATTATTTTTCTAATAATTCAACGGCCCGGAGTCAATTATTCCGCTTATAATACGGTTACCACACCTTAAGACATCGATCAGATGATATATTTAAAGGGATTCGTCCGGTTTTTGTACTTAAATCACTATTGTGAGTATGATTATTTCTTTCTTCCGCAAACCAACGCCTCTTTTGCTAGTTCCAAAACGTCATTTTAAAGCTGGTATTGGAGGCTTGAGCCGTTGATCGCATTCTAATGCAGTTATTAATGAAGTTATTAGAAAGAGAGCGAGAGAGACAGAGACACGCAGAGAATGTTTCCTGGGAGAGTAGCCTACAATGCCGGTGTTCCGGTGAGTTCAGTTCCCCTGTTTCCCCTTCGGCGCGCATGCTGACCCTATACAGTCTATGATGCTGACAAATAATGCTGACTCACAGCCTGTAAGTACGTTTTCATATTTAAAGGATTTGCCACTGACAATTCAAACGCGAGTTTTGAGCAGTGTTGAGTAGCGCTTGTTGTTTGTCGTTTCTCCGATCACAAATGCAGACATGGTTTTATGTTTACGCGGCGTGATGCAACGCAACGCGTAAAAAGACAGTATAAGTCATTATAATCAGTAATTATGTCCCAGCTGGATGAAACAAATGCCTCGTTTATAATGTGTTTTATTGGTTTTGTCTCGTTGCGCCGGACACGGCATCACAGTATGGTAAGGGGCGTAACATTTCCGCTTTAATTATTAATTAACTTCTATTAACTAAATCAAATCAGTTGACCACCCTTTGCGTTTAAAACAGCTTTTGTCCTATATACACTTGCACATAGTTTTTCAGTAACTTTGTAGGAAGGTTTCTTCAAGTGTCTTGGAGACGTTGACATGGCTCTTCTGGATTTAGTCTGTCTCAGTTTTTTCTGTTTCTTCATGTAATCCCAGACAGACTGGATGATGATGAGATCAGATCTCTGTGTGGAGCACTGGCTGTTGTCAGACTCCTTGTGCAAACAAAAATCTCACTGGTTTATTACAATTAATGGCAAAAGGAATATTTGGAAATGTAAACTGATATTTCCAACTGACGCACTACAGCAAAAGATAGAAATTACTGGCTTAAAACAATTTTTTTTTGTTGGTGAAAATACTAATGGCCTAAGACTTTTGCACAGTACTGTATATAAACAGGGATAATTGTTGCAAAGTAACCCTAAAAATCATCTCGGGTTTCTCGCTATTGTTCTTTCATTCCTTATCTCTCTTTCTCCTCCCTCTGTCCAGGCATTGGCTTACCAGCAGCTATATCCTCTTTGCTGTCCCCTACTTCGTCTATGACATCTATGCCATGTTCTTGTGCCACTGGTACAAACTTCAGGTCAAAGATCATGAGGAGGAGAGCGAGGCCAAATCGATGAAGTCAGCCATCAGCGGCTATCTGCGCCGAGAGTTCCTTATGGTCTTGCACCATGTCGTCATGGTTACTGTCTGTTTCCCTGTCTCTGTGGTGAGTCAAATGAGGGTTGAGTGACATTAATAAACATTTCTTTCTTTCTTTTTTTCACAAACACAGACATAATAAAGTACATCTTATTTGAAATATGATTCTGGAGGCCCATCAAAGCCAGTCTCACCATGTGTTTGGAGTGTAGTAACATGGCTTTGGCTTCATGACTGTTTAAGAGTGATTTGACGGGATCATGATCTGTGGGTGGCTTGAAGTGTGGTTGAGTCAAAATTGTCCTGAATGGGCCTGTCTACTTTCACCCTGTAATTATGCTTTCCATCACTCTCCATCTGTATCCATGGAGACTGTTGCTGTCGGCAGCCGTTCAGCAGCCAGCACCCTGGCATTAGCTGCACTTAACTGGCAATGAGTGTTTTAGCCTGATAAGACAGAGAGGCTCCACAGCACTTTCCTCGATAAAACCACACTAAGCTTTCCTACACTGACACAAGTATGACTTTCTTTTTTCTCATTTTCCTTTTATTTCCCTTTCCTCATCCCCTTTCCTTTCCTTTTTTTTCCATCCACCCCATTCTCTCCTTTCTTTTTCACTTCCCTCCCCTTTCCTTTTCCATTTCCTACCCTTTCCTCTCCCTTCCATTCCATTCCCTTTTTATTTCTTTCATTTCTCTTTCCTCTTCCCTTACTTTGTTTCCCATTTACTTTTCTCTTTTCCTTTCCCATTCCTCCCCTTTGCTTTCTCTTTCTTTCCATTTCCCATTCCTCTTCCACTTCCCCGTTTCTTTTTAATTCCTATATTTACATTTTCTCATCTTTTCCCATCCTTCCCTTCCTTTTTCTTTTCTTTCCTGTTCTCTTTTCCTTCCTCCTTTTCTTTTTTTCTCTTCTATCCCTTTGATTTCCTTTCCATTTTCCCCTTGCTCTTCTCTTGCTTTATTTTTTCGTGTTTTTTAAAAAACACATTTTTTATTTCCAATTCCACTTTCTTTCCCATCCGTCCCTTTTCTCCTAATGTCCTTTTCCCCTTTCCCTGTAATTTCCTTCCTCTTCCTTTCCCTTCCCTATTTTCTTTTCTTCTCTTTTCTTTTCATAGTTCTGGAGACAGGGCAAAGGGGATTATTTCCAGGGTGTGATGTTCCTGGCAGAACTCAGCACCCCATCTGTCTGTCTGGGAAAAATACTCATCCAGGTACTAAACACACATTCACCCTGTCTTTCCAACTCCCTCAGTCTTTCTTTTGTTTAGTGAATGTATCTTTCTTTTTTTAACAACCTAGGTAAGCAGATTTTTGCACTACTCTTTCTTTTCTTGAAAATGTATTCTACCAGACTTACTAATCTTAAAACATCTAATTGATTGACAATGATCTTTCACAGACTTTTGTACTGTAACGACTCTTTCTTGTTACACGTCTCCTTCACAGCTTCAGTGTTAAATGTGTAGTGGGGAATATTGAATCATGGTTTATTGCTCTGCCTATTAATATTTTTCTATCTGTTAAACGCTCTCTCTTTCTTTGCTTCTTGCTCTCTCCTTTGTTTCCTTTACTCAGTATAAGCAACAGCACACTCTCCTACATAAAGTCAATGGAGCTCTTATGCTGGTCACTTTCTTCATCTGCAGAGTTCTTCTCTTCCCCTACCTCTACTACGCCTACGGCAGGTAACGATCACTTTAACTCTCTCAGTCATTCAATCTTTTACCATGTCTTTTATTTCTATTGCTCATGTAGTCCTTCTTTTATATTCTCGTTCTCCACTGAGTCACACTGCCTCTGATATTAACCTGGGATTCTTAAATCTTGATGTTTTCAGACATAAACATGAACATCGTATTTCTCACTCAGTCTCAACCCAAGATTTGATTTGAACATACAGTATAATCCTCTTGAACGATTGTAATAACCACCAGAGATCATGAGCTGTGTTGTTTTGGACAAACCTTACTCTGGATGGCATGTTAAAAAATTTTAAATTGCAATCTTGATGTATTATTCATAAGATTGGAAATTTGAGCATCCTTAGACTTAACACTTGTGGTCCTAGTTACATTTTCTGAGTGTGATCTTTAGTGGCAAACTTTATAGTAATCGTTATCGGTATAATTATCCTCCTTGTGAAAGGAATGAAAGGAGTCCCGTCCTAAATAAAAGAGCCATGTGCCAATTGGTAAAGACTTTGCATTACTGCTGCGGGTTACATAAAAACAGTCCGTTTCCAGAGACACACCTTTGGGACTGCACATGTGCATTGGCTGGACCAACCTGAAATGTGCATGGTTTTTTGTGATTTCTATATTTCCCCATTCAAGTAGATAGGAGTTGGTCTTGCATGCCTGACATAACAGCGCGGAGGCATTGCAAATATGCCTGTTGAGTGATCTGGCTTTCCTTGAAAGGGACTTTCAAGGATTATACCGAATACCTCTTTTTACTTATTTACTATATGCTGACTCTGTGCATATTTTTGTTTGTGCTCATATCACAGGTACGCATCCATCCCCTTCTACATGGTGCCGCTGTCTGTGCCCTGGCAGTGTAACGCAGGTGCAGCTTTGCTCATGGCCCCGCAAGTCTACTGGTTTTCCCTCATCTGCAGGGGTGCCTTCCGTCTCTTCACTGGAGCCTCACGGCACAAAGCGACCCCTAGCAGCACAGACTCTGAACCGAAAACCTCACTCCTGCCCCCTGCCAACGGATACAGCCCCAGAGAGACTGACTTGCACTGAGAAAGGAGTAGAGATGGAGATGTAGGTACGGGGTAGTTAGGTTTAGACCAAACAGGAGACTGAAGGCAGATCATCTTATTACAATGGGTGGATCTACCTTAGACCCAGCGGTGTGGGTTAGCAAGCAAAGAAACCGAAGGTCTGTACCCTCGCTATTCACCATCATCCTCTCTTTGAGAAGAAAAATAAGACTGCAGACCAAACCAAACAGATAGTTTTCTCCCTAACATGCATGTTCTCTGTGTTGGAGCAGTAGGTCAGGGAAATGTCATCTGCTGCTTTGAAGGGTTAGTGCATCATTTGTAGATTACCATGGTCATAAGCTTCAGAAAAAGGGACTGATGTGGATGCAACGGGGACAGTATTTCTAATGAGTGATGGATGGAAGGATTGATAGATCCCTCCTGTTCTCCTCTCTGAGAATTCTCCTCTCTTGAGAGTCTCTCTCTGTTTGTTACATTTGCAGAGAAGATACGAAAAGGAATCAGAAATTTCTCAGTCGATTTGTACATAAGTTTTTATTCATATTTACGTTGAATTCCAAATAGATTTTTAATTTATTTTAGATTTTTGTAGAATCTGTTTATTTATTATTTATTCAGTTCTATTCCTAATTACGGGTGGATTAGTTTAAAACAAAACCGTTCACTTCTAAAAAAAAACCGAAGCTGTTGGATTCAAAACAACCCCTCATATCCTCACTGTGGGTGCATGGCCTCCTTCCAGCTGTCCATCTCTCTGTTTTTCCCTTTGCTGGTTTTCATGACAGCTGAAAACAAGACGGCTACGGCTGCATCCAGTTAGTTAGTGAATCAGCAGTTATAAAGTAGAAGGGGGGGTCATTTAAAGGATTTGGATGAGGCTGAGGTAATGCATTAGCATATCTCTGCTGCAGTACTCCAATCCTTTTAAGATCCAGACATTGGACAGAGGGGGAAGGGACCGAGCTGCCCAGTAAAATGCTGCACTTGAAAACCAGGCTGAAGTTGGCAAGACACTCAGACGAACCTGAGCCAATCGGTTTGTTCTTTTCATACAGTTTTATGTGAGGAGAATGCCAGCATAATGGCCCTCGCTAACCTCTAAGTAGACCCACACCACAATATGGATTCTATGCTACCACTGATTGTAATCTGCACATTGAATGGGTAACAACTGTGTTCTTTCTCCACACAGACAAGATGTTTCTTAACTGCTTCTTTTCAAGCAGTCAGCCTTTGTTTCTGTCCGGATATATAGGAGGTCCACTGATGTGTTTTGTCACCAATTAGTCCTCACTTTTATGGTAAAAGTGTCATTGGTGTAACAGTGTCATCACATACCTCCCTTAGGCCTGATTCTTTTGCTTTGCTCCCGAACAGGGATGCCAGTTTGACGTTAAACAGTATTATTAAGGGTGGAAGTGAGAGGATGGCGCACAAGGTGGATTCTAGAAGGTGAATCTTGCACTGAATTATCACAAGGAGGGGTGCTAAACAAACATCCAAATCTGTGAGATACTGTAATACTTTTAAAAGCACTGCATAGATCATTTTAGATCAATGTCCCGGATTTAGTTCTGGACCACTGTAATTGGAGTCGTCTTATAGATTAGTCATGTTTCTGTTACGCACTAGAACATTTTTGTTTTGTTTGCTTTACAGTTAGCCTGTATGCCAAAACGCATCCATGTAGCCTTAGAAGTAATGCTTTCAACATGCTCTTTACACAAAGTACTACTGGATTGTTTTACACTGGGTCATCACAACGCTCAAAGGGACTGCCCAGTGCTGGGCATGGATAGGGGCCAGTATTTTCAACTACAGCAAAGTATACTGGTTTGGGAATGGGTAAAAAATTATATTTTAAGCTAGGAATGACTATCTTCTGACTATTTTTTTTTAAATGTTATTATGCTTAATGTTAATTTATTCTTTTAATTTATGTATTTATTTGGCCAAGTCTGAATGTACATATGAATCCACCTCTAAATGTTCTTCTAAGTGGGCTTCTGTTTATCTAGTTGCCTGAAGACTGTTCTGTAATTCTGGTTTTCTCATCTGAAATATACTCTTGCTCTCTCCTGCTGTGCTCACATGCTTTGTTTGACCTTCTTTTATACTGAAACAAAGGCTCTATGTCACCTGCTTAGTGTGTGTGATTGTGTGAGAGGGTAAAAGATAATTGCATTGCAATTAACGTTAGTGAAATTAAATTTGCCTGTATGTTTCTTTAGTATATTGAAGCACCGTGCCAGTTACTCTTGGTTTCCTTATTCACAATTTCTTGTCTTAGTTATGTTAAATGTGCAGTAAAAATGCCTCATCAACTGATAGTTTTTACTAAAAAAAAGTTGTCTTGAGATATCACACTTGTCTCTGCAAGGGACCTAGGCTCTGTAAAACAGCAGATCAAGAGTTGGTGAGCGGCTGGCTATTGTGTAGCCAATCAGAGAATACAGTTTTGTTAGAGGTGTTGTAAAAAGAGAAGTAAACTCAGAAACCGGAATGGTCACGTCGTCACCGTGTTCTCAAGTTAATGATAATAATGTATTGAAGTATAGTTTAAATGAACCCTATCAAACCTAAATTCAGGATAATCTATTCATACATCAGCCCACATAATGACCAATTCCCGGTAAGTGAAACACCAAAGAGGCTTTTACATTGTAGCGCATTTCCATTACTCGACTAATAAAACTAAATCTAGATTTATGGTTAGTTTACAACACGTTTTTCAGCAGGCTGAATCTCTTCTCTCACATCGTGAAGGAGGTACTGGTTGGAATGTCTGAATGTCTTGGAGAAAAAAGGTATACGGCGCCCCCTGGTGGCCAATTTTTACACTTGCTCTACGATCTATCTAGCGCAATAAAGGCAGCTCATTGATGTCTTGTAGCTGAATCATCTCTATCTCTAACGCCCGTGGCGCATTATTTTTCACAGCGCCAACTGACCTAATAAGTTATGTGGATATTTGCTTGCTCCTGTTTTTTCCCTCAAAATTGAACAAATGACAGACACATTCTGTAAGTGTGAATACAGATTTATGTTGTAAAACTGCCAAACAAACTGGTTGGTACAGAGTTTATAGGCTTTCGTTTTAACAAACAAACAACCGAAATAAAGTTTTTTTTTTTTTTTTAATATATACCAAATTAACACCACGCATTTACCTGATACTAATTTGTATTAATATGATTAATTAGTGATTAATTTGAACCATTGCACAACATTTGATAATTGTTTTAAATCTTCGAATCGTTAATCAGACAGAAGTTCTGGGTTATTATTTATCAGTTATCAGTTCTTATTTTAGTATTTAAACACACACACACACACACATATATATAAACTGTATATAGATACACACACACACACACATATATATAGCTACATGTACTTATTAGATAAGTCAACCAACCCCACTTACACTCTTTTCATTGATGATGAGAGTTGCAAGCATTCAGAGGTTGTCTCTTTTTGTACTACCTGATACTAATTTGTATTAATATGATGAATTAGTGATTAATTTGAACCATTGCACAACATTTGATAATTGTTTTAAATCTTCGAATCGTTAATCAGAAGGAAGTTCTGGGTTATTATTTATCAGTTATCAGTTCTTATTTTAGTATTTAAACACACACACACACACACACATATATATAAACTGTATATAGATACACACATATATATAGCTACATGTACTTATTAGATAAGTCAACCAACCCCACTTACACTCTTTTCATTGATGATGAGAGTTGCAAGCATTCAGAGGTTGTCTCTTTTTGTACTCCTGTCGCCCACCAGCCTCGGTCGTCTCAGCCGGAGCGCAGAGCGGCGGAAGGAGGGAGGGGTTTGAGCCGCACCGGGAAACTAGAGGCTTGATGCAGCCTCCGCCGAACGAAGTCAGGCTGTCTCTAGACCGCAATGGCTATGGGTCTAACGTCGAAAAAATCGTCTTCCAGAAACAGCGGCGTGGAACGCAAGAATCTCATCACCGTCTGCAGGTAGTTTATTGCATGACACACACCGAACTGCTTTCCACAACACGAAGCGTGTTTTCAGTTCGCTTGTAATATACCAATAATACCTAGGTAATTAAAACTGTCAAAAGGTGTTTTTATATATATTTTTTACTTTAATATATTTTATTAACTAGAACATAGATCATAGGATATAGCATCTTTTCTGATTTACATTTTTGCCTAAACGCTTAATATTGAAGATGAGGCCCTTTAAGGACGTCGGTCCCTTATTTCATACCAGCATCCATGACGTCATTACATCCATCCGACCATTTTCATTGCTGTGCACTCGACAGGCTAAAACCACAATATGTCCTTCACCCTCACAGAGCCTTTCACAAAAAAAATAAAATAAATTTAAGGATGACTTTAGTAAAATATTTTTTCTCAAATAGGGGCTACACACATAAACAGGACCATATTATAGCACTAAATTGTACTCTATGTATCTATTAAAGTTGATATGAAATCAAAATGTGACCCTATTTACTTTCTTAATGCACGTTCCTTGTCTTATGTGAATGATTCATCCTCAGTGCATGGAATGTTATCTCTTCACCTTAACTTTTTTTTTTCCTGATGTCACTTAGTCCATGCAGGCTATTGGATGATGTTAACCAATAGCCAAATAGATATAATGTTGATTCCCCTTGCATTTACTGCAAATAATAATGAAAATGTCAAATGCAAATACAAACTGTGTAAGCATTCCTTTTCCACTGTATTATTTTATTGATCACCAAATCACACTAGAATGAATGTATTGCCAACTTTGTTTCATTTGCATCATTCATTGAGCATGCCAGTGAATAAGTCAGTTTACTAAATCAATCAACTACTAAATAGTAGTTTACGGGTGTTTCATCAAATCAGAAATGTTTTTCTAGCCCTTATCAGGAGATCCACATCATAAGGATCTTGACTTTATGGCAACACTAGTCATTGCATTCATAGACTGGAGTGTCTCAGCCCAAAGCCACTTCTTGTACGCTTGCAATACTATGTGCACATTTTGTCCCAGCACACTGTGCGTTGGTGAGTCATGGCTGAAGCGTATGAGGAACACGGAATTCCATCACTGCATTCTGTTCTGCAGGGCTGTGTGGGACTGCACCAGAGCTGCACTTTACCGGTCGGTTGGTACAGCGCAGTAAGTGGGTGTTGAATAATTCATGTTTGGGGGCGCCCCAGGCATAGGCCATGTACAGTTGCTGAATGGACACAGAACACTGTCACTCCTGTTGGGACAGCAGCACCATTGTGCTGTCATAATGGAAATGCAGTCAAAGAGATTATTGTGATGTGGCAAGCTGTTGTGACATCATCATCCCTGCAGTAAAAAGGAATATGGGTTCTAGATGGGTTAATACTAATGGATAAAAACCCACATTTAAAAAAAAAACGTATTCTTGGTTCCCAACATTTTGAATTATATTTGGAGAACATCACGAAAATAGATCTTCATTAATGTCAGCACATATTTATTAAGTATACAGCACCATGGCTAGAACCAAACTTTCTGAGGTTCTACCATCTGGATGGCATAATGTAGGACTTGTTAAACACATGAAACACATGCTATGCTAATGCAGTGTGGGAAAATGAACAAGAAAGAATTACAAAAATGGACTTCAGACTTCACAGATTATTATAAACACAAAGACGCTTTTGTTGGAAAGGGCAGAGGCCTTTCTTCGCTACCCACATCTTTTGTATGGCCATGCCAGAGCTGTTTGTTACATTAAACGACAAATTACACGGGACAAAGGACTTGACGAGAAAAGAAAAAAAAGATCTTTGACTCTTAATTAATGGCTGCTAGCAAAGAAATCTCAAACACTGCTTAATTAAATTGGATCGTGATTAGCTCAGATTACTTGGTGCTCTGAAAGAGTAGCTAAAGCCTCCCATGCTTCTGTCATGTGTCTGTATTTCTCTGGTACATTGAGATCAGGAGACCATTGCGTTTATTTCCTTCACTCTCAATCATCAAACCCTCAGCCCCATTGTCATGTCTCTCAGTCCACAGTGAGATGCCCATTAATGAAAGTTGTTGTTCAGTCTTTAGAGACCTTTAAACCAGGTTGAAAGGCTGTATGGTCAGGGACATTTAAATTTGGCTCCTACATCACACTGGGCAGTGTAGTCTTCGTGGTAGCTGATCTAAGCTGGAAATCAGGAGCAAATCTAACCAATATATTTATCTAAAGCATCTTTGTTAAAACTGAGAGCTGTTGACATTGTGGAGAAGGGTTCTGACCAACAGAAACATGGTTAGTTTCACTCGCCATAACCTACTCACTTATCTCAAAGCTGAGTTTGTTCTGTGCTAAGATCGAAACATTAGTGATGTTGCATTTCTTCAGCTTTTTTTTTTTCAATGGTTACACATACAGTCTGGATCACTGACATACTATAACTATAGACAGTCAGACAGTTTACACAGTTTCAGTTTTCTACTTTTTCAGTTTTTACACTCAAACTAAACAAATGTCAGTTTTCAGAGGGGATAAATAAAGGTTTCATTTTAAGGGCACTCATAACATGTTTGTCGGTTGGTTTTTACTAATGGAAAACCTCGAATGCACTAAGTTTTTTTTTTTTTTTGGATGAAAGAATATTCCAAACATTGTTTTCATGTAACAAGGCAAGAGCTCAGTGCTTTGAACCATGAGATCTGTAAAAGTGAATGGCAGTAAACCATCATTGATATAGGGCAAGTTTAAGAGGTTTAAGACATGATGAAGTGTAAAACAGGCCGTGATGAATGCCAAAGTCGAGAGGTAAGAGTTCCAGCGGTCAAAGAAAGGCTCTTGTTGATGTCCCCATGTCTCGACTTTCCGATATAATGGAATGGCCAGTTTTGCTCATCTCCTTGATAAAGGTTTCCAGACAGCTGAAGCTAGTAATGTAAAGGTGTGGACTCTGATGATTCAAGAACTCTGCAAAGATGAGCATTTGAATTCAGTGTCAGTCTATGTACAGTACAATCAACAGCTTTAGTTTTGTGTATGACTTTTCATCTAAAATGATATACAGAAGTCACTAATTAAGTCTTATGGGACTTTAAAAAAAGGGGACATAGTTGTCTTGATTCCTTCAACTACCTTCAGTTAGATTTTTCTATTTCTCTTAAAGGTGCTGGAGATCAGTATCTTTCAGACATTTTTAAAAGGGTTGGAATTGGGTACCAATTGCTGTATTTTCATCTTCATCCTTGAGATCTAGTTCTTTGACCATCTGATTTCCTAGGAACATATCAAAATCATATTTATTTTATCAAACATGTCTTGGCACCAGCTCAGCGACCTCTGACTGGTTCTTCCATGATCTTCTAACTTCTAACTCAATGAGGCTAAATGCACAATTACACAAACAATCATTTTCACTTACTTAGCTTCTCAGCACATACCTAACCCACTGAACTATCCTCCAGTTATAGTAAGAATTTTTTTTTTGTTGTCTGTAAGATGTGCTACAATTTCATTTCATTTGAATTTGATAAAAGTTTGTATTTTTAATCTGCAGTCACTCTAGGGCATTTTTACTGAGCAGTTATTGGGTGGGAAAGCTTATCCAGAATTAGCAGACAATGCTGGTACTGCCTACAAGAAGGGTGAGGGAAGAGGGGTGAAAGAAGTATATTAAAAAGCTAAAAACAGAGAGTGGGAGGGAGATGTAGAGAAAGGATGATTGGTCAGGCTTGGGAGAGGAGAGCCAAACAGGGAAAAAGTGATGACTGGTGGAAAGGGTATAGGAGAGAGGACCCAAAACATAACCTGAAAGAAGGAGGCTCAAAAACAATCTGGAGTTATAATCAGTAATCTGTAGGTTTTAAAAGCTGAGAACAAACCCGAACTGGGAGGCTATTTTGAAAGGTCATAGCGTATAGTCAAAGGTGCCTTGAAAAAACTATCAAAATCTTAAGAGCAAATGCTATGAAGTAATATTTCATAGAAGGGTCTGGCTTTTTGGCCTGTTACCAAAGTGGGCGAGACCAAGGACACAAAAGCCATTTGTTAAGTGGCTGCACATTTGTTTTTCAGTGTCAAATCGTACCAAGACAGTCTTGCTGCCACATTTCTCTATTAGCATTTTAGGCCTCACCCTGCTGACCCTCAGAAACTTGCATCTTTATATTTTCACTACACTTTACATTTACGCATTGTACAGTTGTCAAACTTGGTCATATCTTTGTGTTTTTCACTGCTCTTGTGACCAGGCGTAGTGTGCAATCAATGTATTTGGTTGGCTGGTGTTGAGAGTTAACCTTCCTGCAATGATTAGCATTGTTCACGGGGCGTAGGATTGCCATACACTTGTGGAAACACCTCTTGGTTCAGCCATAGAGCCAAAGAGAAAATCAAGAATCAAGAATGTTTGTTGTTTAAAGGATCCGAATCTAACTGGGTTGTCACTACAGTTGCACAAATTTTGCTCTGGCCAAATGATGAAGCAATGAAACAGGCACAATCAAACAACTACACGTGACTAAACTGAAATTCAAGCTGGCAAGATCAATGATCCTTGTAGAACCTTGGAATATCAATGTAACATAATGAAATATGTTAATTAGCACCATTAAATTGTTATGTGTTACATAAGTAATTTTATTATTGCTACAAATAAAAGTCCATGGCATAACCATCATCCTTTGGAGTTGGATTCATTAAGTACTAACCTGTATCCAGGATGTATTCCAGAGAAATCTTAGGTAAACAAAAGAAGAGACTTGGTCCAAAAGGTAAAGTTTTTGTTTTGAATGGCAAAAATTATTCAAGATGCAGTAACTTATCTCCACAGAAGGTAGGCTCTGATGATGATGATGTTTCCTCAGCTGTTGGTGATATTTGCCTATATTTTATTTGTTCCCAGCTTGGTGAATCTGTCCCCCATCCCACTCCCAGCACCCTACACCCTCCCCAAAGATTCGGCCTTACTCCCCATTAAAGAGTCTTCCTCTTGGGCATAAAAGCCTTTCGGAAGGACGTAGTCTTGGTACCTCGGCTGAAGGAAGCAGCTCCCATGGAGATCTTTGTCTTGCCACTGGTGATGGTGGAAGAGCCCAGGGCTGTTGTGCTCTTCCCACGGGAGATAGATGAGTTTCCCATCATGATTTTGGTCTTGTCTCTCTTGATCGATGTGCTCCCCAGGCTGAGGGCCGTCTTGCCCTCTGTGATACTGGTGTTACCCATGGCGGAACCAAAGGTGGTGGCGTTGAAGCTCCAGGAGGTCTCCTCCAGCAGCCAGCCTAGATGACCTGACCTGGAGCACGTTCAGGGTTAAATTTTCTCAACTCTCCCTTGGGAAGCTTCTGCTCTCCTGATTCTACAGGATGAGGTTATGACGGCTCATCGCGTGCCCTGGCAGCAACGCATCCCAATGCACACAGACAGTGTCTGGCTGGGTGTGACAGTCCAAACAGTTGGAACCAGAATGCTAAGCGTAGTGAGAGCAACCCCCATGCAGCATAAAGCCCTTGTTGAGCAGTATAACGTGGGCTCCGCAAGGCCACATACCTCCCCTGTCTGGCGTGAATGGACAGAGGCTGCCGTAGGAGGCCTTAGTTCTAACTGGGGGCAGAGCGGACAGTAGACTGCATTGTCCCGTCGCTAAAGCAAGGCACTGAAGAACACATTGTTGAGCGACACAATTGATGGTGACATCACTCAGTTCCGTGGCATTGTGCCTCCCTAGAACCGCTATCCAATGTTATACTGTACACGGTTGATTGCTGAGACTCAAGGGTGTGGTCTGCTTTCATGAGTTTTATGTTATGTCAGACCCCCAAAATGTATAGTCAAATTAGTTATCGTCGAAGCATTGTGTTGTGTTCTGTCCAATTGTAAAAAAATGAAAACATTTTGAGATTCTTGCTTATTGTGCAAGCTACTAGGGAAAGCCAGGTTCACACTAAGATTTTGGCTTCTTGTTAATAAATCTGAAACTGACAAAGTTCTGGCAGTGTAAGAAATTTTGCGTCACAGTCGTGCAGTCTGACCGCCTCTACTAGTTGTCGATGGGGACCAAAGTCTTGGCTACGATCGCATAGTCTGACATAAAAGAAACATTACAGTGCGCTGTGGCTTTTACCTAGATCTGATTTGGATCACATTGTATATTTTGACAAGCAGTGTGTGCCCAGCTATAGGTATAGTGAAATAAACCCTCTGAAATATTTTAGAGGTACAATGTTTTAACCATTTCAAAGATCTATTTATTGACCATTCTGATTTAATTCATTGTTATACTGGTTGATTTATGCTACACTTAATGTACGATTAAGAAGTCAAAGAATTAACAATGCACATTTTAATTGAAAGGCAATGGTTGAAGTTAAAACTTTTTACTATGACTTGGTTAGTCCACTCAAATGATACAATTCCATTTGCAAAACAGAATCTCAGATCTGGATTCTGGATCATTATCCAACTTAGACCCTTCTGCATGTGAACAACAATAACAGCCATTCTAGTTGTGGCAGTGCACACCCTCACACATGCATGCATGTTCTCTTCATGAAAACCAGATTGGTGTCTGATCTCTGCACGTTCTCTCAGACAAATCTTTATCTTCAAATCAACTGTATTCTCTTTCAGTGACAAAGGTGTCATGCTCAATTCCAAGCTAATTTAAGATACACTTACACTTCGTTTTGCATCTAGAATGCATTTGTGTGCGATTCTAGAGCAAGCTGGCAAACACTTGCATCTTACAAGACATCCAACCTGCTTAAACGCTCTACTACAAAGTTAATCTTTGTGGACACACATACACATATACTGTACATATACTGTTTGCAGTTATATTGGTGTCTTTAAGTCACAGATGAAAATCCCAGTAGAGATTCCATTGCGTTTCTTTGCCTCTTTTGAGAGAAGTCTTAACTACAGTAACAGACTTCTCCCCTTGACTTAAAGTGGTCTTGCTCAAAGAACTAGTAGTCTCCCCGTGAGTGATTGTAGTTGTACCCACCACAAACGCAGTCTCTCCCTTCCTCAGTTTGGTCTTGCTCCTCGAAAGAACTGTCTTCCCCCATGAGATGACCTTCTTGCTTTTCATCAGTTTGATTTTCCCTTTTGTAAAGCAGGTCTTTCTCAGTAAAAGAAAAGCCTTTCCTTTTGAGGCTTTTGAGTCGTCCTCTTGCTGTATATCTGTTGTCTCATCCTTCTCAGTGCTCTTTCTTGCTTTTGAAGTCTTGGTGTTTGTTTCAGTGTTTATAGATCTCCTTTCCATCTACTTGGTCCGGCGCTTGGGCATGAGGGCCTTACGGAAGGAGGTTGTAGTTTTACCTCGGCTGAAGCTGGCTCTGCCCAGAGAGATGGTGGTCTTGCCTCTGGTTATGGTAGAGTCGCCCATAGAGGTAGTGGTGACCCCACGGGTGATTGAGGACTTGCCCATGGTGATGGAAGTCTTGCCCCGGGCTATTGAAGAGTCGCCCACAGACAGGGCAGTCTTCCCTTCCGTAATACTGGTGTTCCCCATGAAGGCATGTAGGTCGTCAGGTCTTCAGACTCTCAGTTCTCTCTCTGTTTCCTCTACCCTTTGAGTGGGCTAGAGTATTCGCATTCCAGCGCCTTGCAGGTTTGACTGTTCTGGGAGAAAACTGTACACAGTATCGGGACAGCCCTAAATAGATCACACCACCAATTCAGCAAGTGGGTGGGTGGAGAAAGTGAGCGTGAGTGTGTTAGGATACGAGGGAGATTTTCTCACTATACTGTTGCTTTTAAAAAAAATAAAAAAAAACCTACAGGCGCAGAGGATGGAATGGAACCCAGGCGAGGACAAAGGTCTCAATCCCGACAAGTAGCATAGAGCTGTTGGCAGAGGCACAAGGACTCCAATTGTGATGGCAGGAGTGGTAACGTGAATATGCCATCAAAAGGGCATTGTCTAGCACACAGGACAATTGGGATTGACCTCAGCAGTCCGCTGTGGCACCGCTCCCGAAAACGCCTGTTACATCAGTCAGAATGGCAGCGTTGAGTGGGGCCTGCACCGATGCTAGCGTTTGTGTCTGCCTGTAAGATGCTAATCATACTGTTAGCGAAGTGTGGTATTTCATCAATGTGTGGTTTTGTTTTTTTGATGAATTTGGAGTTTCCAAATCGGACATGTTAAGTAGCATATCTAGTGTGACTAAATTTGACTATATATTGCCTCTGTTTCTCTCTCAGGTTTTCTGTGAAGACGTTGTTGGAAAAGTACACTGCTGAGCCTATTGATGACTCATCAGAGGAGTTCATCAACTTTGCGGCAATTTTGGAGCACATCCTCAGTCATCGTTTCAAAGGTATATATTTAAACAACTTCCTGTCAATTCCCAATGTGTGTTGGTACTCGTGAATAATCTGGGGGGATTTTTATTTGATCAGGTCCAGGTGGTTGGTTCAGTTCAGATGGCCAGAGGAGTTTCTGGGACTATATCCGTCTGGCCTGCAGTAAAGTCCACAACAACTGCATCAGTAGCATTGAGAGCATTGAGAACATTAGCACGTCACGAGCAAAGGCGAGACACTTTCATCTTCAAGCACTCTATATCTTTACCCTCTTGAGATGATTAGCATAGCATATGTTTTGTTTTGGATGCTGGTCCCTACCATGGAATGCTGGTGTGCTGATTTATTCCATTTTGCTTCACTAGCAAAGCTTTATCTGTAACTGTTTACTCTCTCGTTGTCCTATAGGGACGAGCCTGGATTCGTGTAGCTTTGATGGAGAAGCGTTTGTCTGAATATGTAGCCACTGCGTTAAGAGACACTCGGACTACAAGGTTATAACTCTGCACTCTTTCCAATGAGTTTGACAGCTGTCTTTATCATTTCAAAGTAATTTAATAGATTTGTAAATCTATATTTGCGCTGCAGGAGATTTTATGATGATGGTGCCATAATGCTAAGGGAGGAGGCTACCGTTCTGACGGGGATGCTAATTGGACTCAGTGCTATTGACTTCAGGTAAAAACACTGCAGTCATGACAACTCACAAATGACACTTACTTAAGCGTGAATGTGTTTTTTTTTTCTTTCAGGAATGTGTCATTTATTAGCCACTAGTGGCATCAATTAGAATGTGTTCACACCAATTAGTGTGATATGATACTGACTGTTTGTCTTTTTTTTTTTTGCCAACATTAGTTTCTGTCTAAAAGGAGAGGTTTTGGATGGAAAGACACCTGCAGTGATCGACTACACACCTTACCTGAAGTTCACCCAGAGGTAGGTTTGCATTTGCTGACCAAACCCAAATCCTAAACCTTATAGTAGCCTTTAAAATGCCATTACTGCTATTGATGTGCCTCTGCAGCTATGACTACCTGAGTGATGAAGAAGACCGCCGCAGTGTGGACAGCAGTGCCAGTGATGAGAGTGTAGCCGAGCATCCTTACATTCCTTTGGTCACAGATGAAGAGACCTGGAGCAACAAATGCAGAAAGATGGAGCAAAGATTCAAGATTGTCTATGCCCAAAAGGTATTGCGTGTTTTTGACTTCCAGTCACTGGGTGATTTGGTTGTAATCCAGCTTAAGTTGGTAGCTTGTTTCTTGCTGGTCCAAGATTGTCTAGCAACTAATGACCAATTTGGATCAGACTGAAACACAGCTACCAGCAGTGGATTAAAGCAGAAATAGTGCATTCATATACTAATCCATAAATCCCTGTAATTTTAGGGTTATTTAGAGGAATTGGTCCGCTTGAGGGAATCCCAGCTGAAAAATGTAGAAACTGAGAACAAGAGGCTAGTTGCTAAACTAGAGGAACTACAGGTCCAGAGTCGACAAGAGAAGAAAGAACTGGAGGCCATTATACTGGAGCTACAAGCACAACTGTATGCACACACACACTATCACACCTTCTGCATTTGTGTCAACTAGAAGTCTCTAATGGCTTTATTCTGGTATGTTTTGCAGCACTGGCATAATTCCTCATGAGTCCTCTCATTTGGGACTCAAAGGACTGTCTATTCCACTCATTAACCAATGCACAACTGCACAACCCACCAACAACAAAGAAAATGTAAAGCTGTTCCGTCGGTAAGCGCTGACTCGAAATTTGAAGACCCTCACCACACCTTGTTTAACACCTTGGCAGTCGCTCAGAACACCTTAGCAAATACATCCCGGAAATCACCTGTATCACAGGAAAGCACTATTCAGTCTAGTCATGAAATTATGTTTTTGGTTTTAGGAGGAGTTTTCACAGTTTGGATCTCTCAGCTGATGTGAGTTTGAACTCTGACTCTCAGAAGGAAGACGGCATTCAGAATGGAGACACAACCTGGTCAGCAGGTAAAAGCATGCAGATTAACACAATACAATCATGTCTGAATACTGATTACTAATTAATGTTCCTTCTCTTCTCTTCTCTTCTCTTCTCTTCTCTTCTCTTCTCTTCTCTTCTCTTCTCTTCTCTTCATCAGCTAAAGACAACACTCCCTCTATGCTTGGTCTATGTGGTTCTTTGGCTTCTCTACCCAGCTGTAAGTCACTGGCAAGTCTCAAATCCACTGAGTATTTGGTCAACATCAGCACAGAGCCTAGTCCTGCCCTGTCTCCTAGCTAGGGGGCGCCAAATTCCAACTAACAAGACACTCTCAGTCCCAGTACGACTTTGTACTTTGAGTACTTTCCACCAAGAAACATCACAACGGTCCTACCAACATCCTTCAAAGATCCCAGTGAGCTGAAACAATGTAATATATATACAAGGTGTTTTATCTGAATTTGGTTTTTGTGAAGTGTAAGACCTTAAAAATCCATGAATGGCAACCCCTCCAGCACTCGCTTATTTTCTTATCTTTACTTGCCAATTTATTATTCACTCTTGTCTTCCACCCTTCAGTACAGTCTTCTTCAGAATGTTTGAGTGTCTGTAACATTCCCTGAGCCTGATATTACAGCCCAAAGGCACAGCAGCTTATCTCTGTTAGTTTTGAACTCATTAGTCCTTGAATTCCCTGCACCAGCGGCATAAACAGATCAAAGTGAAAAACACAAAACTCAAGACTTGGCAGTTATTTATTATACATAAATCCATCTTAATGAATATGAACATACAGAGTGGCACATCTGTTCATGTTACCCACAGTTGAATCTCTGATTTAGACATATTACCTTTCTTATGCTTATTAATAAAAGATATGAGGGAATAAAAGAGAGACCAAGGAAAGAACTGTTGCCTGTATCTGCATGTCAAATGCGCTTTATTGAGGCTGTAAATGCCTCAGCTGACTTTATGTACTTGCTCCTTTGACAGTTATATTATGTGACTGGAAGTAACTGCAAGTGTTGTCAGCTAAATTCAAATCTTTTGTCATATTTATCTTACTGGTGTTGCTTCATTCATTGTATTTCTTCAGTTTCTGTATGTGTACATAATTGTCTATTTTGTTATGCGGTGGCAGTGCTCTGCGGTTTTGAATTGAAATAAACGATTCTTTTATCTCAACTCACACTTGTTTGTATAAATATTTCAAAGCCTATAAATCTCACATTCTTTTCCCAGAATGCTTCAGGGCAAACAGTAGAGTCATAACAATAGCAGCACTTCCTGGGAGAACTCGACATCTAGTGGATATTGCCTGTAATGGCTTTGCTTTGCAGGAAATGATCAAACAGAAATCACATGATAGATCTACTTAGAATCGGCTTATGCTACATACAGAGTTCGCCAGTTTTCTACAGAAGGAAGGGTAATGAATTATCTGATGTAAAGAAACAAATGAAGCAATATAAGCATATGATAATACAAATACCATGTTGGTACAAGCAGTGTAAGACATTTTCTGTTTTACTCACAATAAACATCAGCAATCAGTTTCTGATGGATAAAATTTACTCCTGCACTACATTTTCGTACTGAATATCCCATTTCACTCAGAATATTATGGAAATAAAACAAGTTGCAAAAGGCAACTTTTCAAAGCCTATAAATCTCACATTCTTTTCCCAGAATGCTTCAGGGCAAACAGTAGAGTCATAACAATAGCAGCACTTCCTGGGAGAACTCGACATCTAGTGGATATTGCTTGTAACGGCTTTGCTACGCAGGGGACGATCAAACAGAAAGACACAGTATATCTACTCAATACTGGCCTGTGCTACATACAGGGTTTGGCCAAGCGGCAACCTCCCGCTCTCTCTCGTGATGCCAACAAGGAAGTGACTTAAACTGTAATTCATCAACTGGCCGCTAGAGGCTGGCTGCAAAAGGGAGTCAATCCCATAGACTCCCCATGTTAAAATGGCCAACTTTACAGCAGAAAAAAACATGTTTACAGCCTGGTTCAAAAAATTATTTTGGTCTATATAGCTAATTTTGCCCTTCATGACAACTGTGAGGGGGGGTGAATTTTTTTATAACTCACCCGTTTAAATTATATTAAGCCTTAAAATTCTGCATAATTAAGGGCGTGGCCACTTGAGTGACAGGTGGATTGACCTTGCTGTCTCTATCAGCCGCTGAACTTG